GCTGTACAAAAACTGAGCGAGGCCATTCTTTTTTTGGCCAGGCAATAATTTTGCCTTCAATATCTTAGAATGGATAATCAAAATTATGGGATAGAACGTATAACCTATACACTCAATAATACAATATTCTCCAATAAATCTATTGCCATTGTTTCTCGAATTATTTAGTCAGTTGACCAGTTAGACTTCTAATTTACGTTTCATGCATCTTTTTTTAGTTGAATATTCTTGAATCAAATAAAATGTTCGTGAACTTCTTATTATTATACTAAAATAATCAATGTTGTGTTATTATTTACACTATATTCATTTTTCGTGTTTTATGTTTTGTTTAGTTAAACCCAAGCATTTGAATCAAGTGATTTTGATTCAAAAGCTCAAGTTTAACTGAACAAAACAATAAAAGACAAAAAATGAATATAGCAACAAATAATAACTCAAAATTTCCTGTGAAGGTCCTACCATTATAAATCAAAACAGATTAAAACAATCAAATTCACCAGTTGGTTCAGTAATGTTGTGTACCTGAAATTAGGTATTTAAACGTCAAAAAATTAACTTTAATAAGAACAGAGGAGAGGTCGAAGCAAAACAAAGAACAATGAACAACAAACTCACAAAAATCGACATCTTTTGGCTCAATCACACGAAAAGATATTTATGTATACCCCTTGAATTACATACACTGACGGTGGTTAACTTACCGATACAATTCGCAAGTTCTTCGTGCGCTTTAATATCATTTGTTAATGTTGATGCTGTTGCTTGATAATGAGCTTGTATTACTAGAGGATACTTTCACGCAATTCAGCCCATTTTTACAGAAGTTACTGGCATCTTCTCACTATACGCATTTTGTAGAGCTTTCCGACCTCCTTCGCTCTGGTCCCTGAACACATTCGACGATCGGCAGCTTCAACTCCTTCTGGACGACTCCGACCATTTTTCCTTATGATTTAGCGCTTAGCATCAGTGTAAACGAACTGATATACACGAACCTCCTAAAACACAATCAAAAATAACTTTTCCATTGTGCAGATAAACCACGTATTGAGATCAATTATGTACTATTTCTTTTTTGAAAAATGTACGTACACCAATTCAAACATCGTTTTTTGAACATCGTGCGTTAAAAAGCCAATGAACCTCGGTTTTTGTAAAAAGTTATAATCCCCTACAATGCCTTACTTAATAGTGTTGTATCAGATTTGTCAACCTTCGTGAGTGTGTTTCTTTCACGTATAACCGTGTGTATTTAAAAGAGAAAAGCGATTCATAACGTAAGAACCTTTCCGGTTGAGTTTTAGCTTAAATTTGTTTTCCAGTGTATTTTGTGATTTTGTTGACACCAAGCTTAATAACTCTTGCTGATACAGAACACAGAGTATCTGTAGTAAATAATTATATTGATGCTGATCAAACAACATATGAAGAAGCAGCTGGAATTATTTCAAATAAAGATAATTATGGTATATTATGTGTAACATTTCGGTCATTAACATTAGGTCTCCTGTTTACAATATTATTTTCACTTGTTAATCAATATTTTTATTATCGTACATTAGATTATTCATCTAGTTTACCTCTAGTTCTATTATTAATTTACCCATTGGAGTATTGTTCTTCTCGTTATTTACCAAATTGGTCTTAAAAAAAAGTTTCATTGAATCCAGGACAATTTACCATCAAAGAACCCGCGATTATTTTTATAATGGCATGGATATCAACAAATACGTTTTAAGCGCAAATGACATTATTGTTAACCAACAAACATTATTAGACGAAAAAATCGATTTTACAACAGGATTGTTTTTTTCGTTTTATCAACACAAATCTTAGGCTATAGCATGGCAGGTAAAGAA